TTCCTTCCTTCCTTCCTTCCTTCCTTCCTTCCTTCCTTCCTTCCTTCCTTCCTTCCTTCCTTTGATTTATATGGCCGTCCAACTCAGGTATATGACTCTGGGCAGGTAACAATATTAAAAAACATTCCATTCTATTCTGTAATATATATATATAAAACAGCAGCTGGGGAAAAAAACTTGAAACCTTCACTTTCAAGACAGACAGGAGATGGGTTCCATCCCACACCCGAGGTTTAAGCACAGAGGTGCATTTCAAGGCTTTGTGGAAGGCCAAAAGTGATGGGGCCAATCCAGTGGTGGGATTCAATTTTTTTTTTTACTACTGGTTCTGTGGGCGTGGCTGGGTGGGCATGGTGTGGCTTGGTGGGCATGGCTTGGTGGGCGTAGCAGGGGAAGGTTACTGCAAAATCCCATTTCCTCCTGACCCCACTCACCTGTTTTCCAGCTCCCTTATTAAAGGGCATCAGCTTTTCTAAGCTGCAGCTCACTTCATTGGATCCATTAATTGGAAGAATCATTATTGCTTCTGATGAACTGAGTTGCAGCTTGTGAAAGCAGAAGCTTTTTAATTAAATGTCTTAGCTGGAAAAGAGGCTATCAGACTCCTCCTGATTTCATCAGCAAATGTTTCAGACAATAAGAGGAGACTAATTCCATACTACTGTTGATTGTTATGTTTGAATCCATCCAAAACAATCAACTGGGCCCTGCCTATCATTTTCTCTCTTAAAGCCATGCATAACCTAAAAGGTACTGGCAAAGCAAAACTACGGAATTGCAAGCAATTTAGGAAGATGAACAAGGTTAACAGAGATTCCAAAAATGCTTAGGACCCTATTGGTTTCCTTACTCTCATGAAGCAGTTTTGTGATGATTGAGCATATTCAATAATTAAACATAGTCCTTGACTTACAATCATTTGTCTAGTGTCAGAGGTGGTATTCAGCAGGTTCTGACCAGTTCTGGAGAATTGGTAGCAGAAATTTTGAGTAGTTCGTGGAGTAGCAAATGCCACCTCTGACTGGCCCTGCCCCCATCTATTCTCTGCCTCCCGAGTCCCAGCTGATCTGCTGGGTCTTCTTTGGTTGCCCTGCACAGGAGAACAGACATGGAAAGCAGGTTAGTGGGGTGGGAAGAGAATGGAGATTTTGCAGTAACCTTCCCCTGCCACGCCCACCAAGCTACATCCACCAAACCACGCTCACCAAGCCAAGCCATGCTACACCGACCAAGAAACAGAACCGGTAGTTTAAAAAAAATGTGAATCCCACCACTGGTATGGATGGAATGTCACCCATGGAACTCCAAACAGAAAATTCTTCCCATGTGGTGATGTTTTGTTGCTAGTCCTGTTTATACAATAATATTTTATATGCAATATCATCTCACTGGATGTACAGTTAATCCTCGCATAATGAGCAGTTGCTTAGCAACTGATCAAAATTATGATGGACCGCAAAAGTACTTACGATTCGTATTTGAACTTCCAAGAGCAGTCCTTCCTCCCACAGCCAGTTGTTGGAAGAAATATCCTTCTGGGTTCAGTTCCAAGTGGGGGAAAAGACACTGGAAACATGGAGGCTGTTTGGAAAGATGGTTTAATGGTAGACAGGACCACATGGCTTGGAGCTCCAAAGAAGGATGATCACATGCTCCAAGGTGAAGGAAAAGAGAAGGAAGGGCTGAGATGCTGAGAGTGCCTGGTTTTATACCCTCTATTGAGATTTGAATTTGAGCTTGTATTCTGATTGGTTGTCAGACTCCCATGCGGCCATGCAGGGGCAACTCTGTAGGCTGTCCTGAGTTCTAGGCTTGGTTGAGCCTTGCTGGATGATGATGTAATGAAAAAGGCTTTGGGGACTTCCGGGTTAAGCCCTCCTCAGCGACAGACAGGGGACCACGACTGTCTGGGGCTTCTGTGTGTTCTTTTGTTGGAGAGCCCCAATCATTGTGACTGAAGCTGTCTCAGAGGGGAGTGGAATAAGGGGAAGCACCAGCCAGGTCAAGGGGAGCCACATCTCCCCGCCCCAGGCTTGGCAATTTTTCCCCCGAAGATGACCAAGCAGTGGTCTCAAATGGCCACCCTGAAGAGGAGGACTTAGCTGGATTAAGATTTGTGCAGGAGTGAAGAAAGAGGTGAACAACCATAAGAATCGGGACAATTTGGCGCAACAACTAAATAAAAGTTATTGATGTTATAAGAATCTTGAAGAGAGAAAAAGAAAGTGGCAGAATTATAAAGGGAAAGAAAAGAAAAAATAACTTTGACAACTGAATGAGGCTTTGAACCGAGAAAGGAAGAAGCCGGAAGAAGAAACTTAAATAAATTGAATTAAAATATATTGGCAACAAACAGGCATAAATTAAAGCTGGA